AGCTGCCCGAAGCGCTGCTGCTCCAGCGGCGCCGCGTGACGGTGCGCAAGGCCGACGCTGGCGGGCTGGGCATCAGCATCAAAGGTGGGCGCGGGGCACTGAGGGCACCGGGTCGCGGTGTCTGTGGGGCCGCCGAGGGCGCAGGGGTCGCGGGGGCTGGCAGTGCACGGATAACGTGGAGTTGGAGGCCTTCTGTCTGGGGCTAAGGGGAGTCGAAGGAGAGAGAGGGAACCCAGGGTACTCAGAGCACCAAGGTCGGAGGGGGTCTCAGGATGCCACGCCAGGAACAGTTGTGGAGGAGATCGCGGGTGCGCCAAGGACACATGGATAGGAGCCATAGGAGTCAGAAAGGAGCAAGCTAGAGTGGGCATCAAGGACAAGAGGGGCCCCAGAAAAGCAGGCAGGGGAGAAAGAGGGTTGAGGCCTGGGGGCAAGTCCCAGAGGGAGAACCAAGGTGGGGCAAGGTGAGGAGTCTGGGAAGCTCAAGTAGAAGATGTAGATGCAGGCACAGGTGATGCCGGCGGTGCCAGAGAGGACCTAGATATCTGAGGCCCCAGGAAGGTTCTGTACCTGGGTAGGGAGCTGTGACAGCTGGATTTGAGACTCCTGACCTGGCCATCTCTGCTTTACCCAGGATGGAGAGGGGGAACCCAGAGTTGCCTTTCCTCCTGGAGAGCTCTCAGCCCCTAAGACTGACAGCCTTCTTTAGGGTCAACCAGAATGAGTTGGAGTCCAGGGTTGCAGTGTGAACTTGGACAAGTCACTTCCCATCTCTGAAACTTAGTTCCCTCAATTGTATAATGAAGGTGATGATAGAGTTGTGATGTTCCTATGAGAATGGGGCCAGCACATATTAAGTGCTTGGTTTATTATTGCTGTTAGATGAGAGGAACATGGAGGCCAGGAGGGACTTCCAAAAGCAGCTAACCACGGTGCTTAAAATCCCTTCATATCCCCAGTAGCTGGGTTCACCATTCTTGTCCATCTGCCAGTCAGAATCCCAGCTCCAGTCTCAGCAGGCTGCCTTGGGAAAGGGTGTCAGTCCTTTTGTCACCTTGATTGTGCACTGTCCCCTCCCAGGCTGCCTGCTTGGGGCTGGCTGTGTTCACTGGTGCTGCCAAACCCTTTGGCCTGGGTGAGGGGGCGGGAATGATAGTGAATGCTACTACTATGTCCTGAGTGCTATGAAAGTACACTTGGCTCATTATCTACCTCAACTTGGCAACAAGTGATGAACGGTAGTGGACATAATCCCAATGTTGCAGGAGAAGCAACTGAGACTCAGAAAAGGAAAATGATTTTCAGAGGATCTCACTGTCCGTGATTGGCAGAGCTGGGATTTGAACCTTAATTATCAGACTATGATTCCCCTAGAGAGCATAGAGGAGTTGGTTCTTTCCAATGGAAGGGCACATCCCCAGGCAGCTAACCCACAGGGTCTAATGGGGGAAGTGGGGGAAATCAGAGAGTGGACACCCATCTAACCCCCAAACTCTGGCATGGGATAGGGCAACAGACCCATCCCAGAGTGTACACTCAGAGTGTCAGAGCTGGAAAGAAACTTATATAAAGTTCCATTTTGCAGATGGGCAAACTGACTCTCAGGGAAGCAGGATCTTTCCATGGGCACACAAAGTTACTCCCCAGCTCTGCATTTACAGATGGATGTGAGGATACTTTTAGGAGGCTTTTAGGGGAAATACCAGCTCGATCTAATTCCTTGTGGATGGAGACAGGGCTCTTGTCACCCTGGTGATCTACACTCTGGGGTCCAGCTGAATCCAAGGCAGCCATGAATATCATAACTTCAAACTAAACTGAAGTCCCTAGTTTTATCTCCTTTTGTATCTCCCTTCACCCCTGGCTTCCTTCCTTTTCTTATGTCGTGCATGCTAGGCAAGTGTTCTACCACTGAGCTACATCCCTGCCCACATTCTTAGTTTTAGGTAGGGGAGGGCAGATATAAATAGAAATCCCTTCTGCTCATAGATCTCAAGCTTTTTTTTTTTTTTTTTTTTTTTGTCAATCATGATCTGGCCTTGAGCTAACTATTGGGCCTGTGTGGGGATCAGGAGAGGTGTTCCACTTCTAGCTCTGCCACCAACTTGTGTGACCTTGGAACAATGACCTTCTGCTCTTAGTGATTAGTTCCTGATCTTTAGGGTAGGCCAGGAGTATAGAAATTTCAGGGCCTGACTTGCAGTCTACCATAGGGTTAAGAGTGTGGTTCTGGAGCCAGGAGACTTGGTGGCTTTGCCACTTATTAGCTAGGTGACCTTGGTCAAGGGGTTTGTTTCCACACTGCCTGTTGATGGGGTGTTGTGAAGATGTGGAGGGACAACAGGGAAAGCATTTAGTACATTGTAGACTTGACGTGTGTAACTAGGCTGAACTCATGTGATCTGATATCTGTTATTACTTTTTTTGGGGGGGAGGTAGTCCTGGGATTGAACCCAGGACCTCAAGCATGCTTGGTAAGTGCTCTACCACTGAGCTACATACTAGCCCTTTTGTATTCTCCAATTTGAGATGGAGTTTCACTGTTGCCCAGGCTGGCTTTGAACTTGTGATCCTCCTGCCTCAATCTCCCCAATAGCTAGAATTATAAGCATGCACCATAGGCCTGGCTGTTCTTACTATTTATTATTTAAAAAGCCATTTAGGAGTTTAGCAATAGGAGCTGGGGTTGTAGCTCAGTGGTAGACTACTTGCCTAGCATGTGTGAGGCACTGAGTTCAATTCTCAGCATCACATATAAATAAATAAAAATTAAAAAGGTCCATCAACAACTTAGAAAATATTAAAAAAAAAAAAAAGGAGTTTAAGTAGGGGGGCTGGGGATGTGGCTCAAGCGGTAGCGTGCTTGCCTGGCATGCATGCGACCCGGGTTCCATCCTCAGCACCACATACAAAGATTTTGTGTCCGCCAAAAAGAGTTTAAGTAGGGCTGGATTTGTGGCTCAGTGGTTAATATACTTGCCTGGCATGTGTGAGGCCCTGGTTTTGATCCTCAGCACCATATATAAATAAATAGATAAATAAATAGAAAATCCATTGACAATTAAAAAATAAAAGAGTTTAGCAATAAAGCAATTCAGTAAAATGTATTAGAGTTGTTTGCATCAGAGGTGAAATTCAGATAGGCTCTGAAATCCCTAGTATCTTAGGCCTTGGTTTCTGGTCTGAAGCTTGGATTGCAAAACTTTATGATTGCTGAGGAGGTATTTGGGGCCATAGCAATCACTGTCTTCTATCTTAATTCCAGATCAGAGGGTTTCAGCAAGTTTCCACATTGTAGGAAAATTGATTAAAATTCAAAATATTTAACTCAAGAAAGAACTATTGAAGTTACTCCAACAGTGGTGAACATGCAAACATTTAACCAAAAGATCCAGCACTGGCTGGGCACCGAGGGAGCCCTTCAGAAGTAATCTGACCTTCCCAGTGCCTAGGAGGCTCAGGCAGGAGGATCGCCATGTTTAAAGCCAGCCTCAGCAACTTAGCAAGTCCCTAAGTGATACCCTTCTCTAAATAATATATAAAAAAGGGTTCAGTGGTTAAGCACCCTTGGGTTAAATCCCTGGTACCAAAAAATACATAAATAAATAAATAAAAAATAAAAGAAGAAGAAGTAATTTTTACCTTGGTGTGACCCCTAATTATTGGAGTGCCTGCCTCACTCTCTTCCTCCTCTGTGCCTGTGCAGGAGGCCGGGAGAACAAGATGCCCATTCTCATTTCCAAGATCTTTAAGGGACTGGCAGCGGACCAGACGGAGGCCCTCTTTGTGGGGGATGCTATCCTGTCGGTGAATGGTGAAGACTTGTCCTCTGCCACCCACGATGAGGCGGTGCAGGCCCTCAAGAAGACCGGCAAGGAGGTGGTGCTGGAGGGTGAGCGCTGGGGTCTAGAGCCCGGAGGGCTGGGCAGGGGTGTTGAATTCCTTCCCCTCTCCCCCAGGCCTGAAGCGGCCTCAGCCTGGCCTAGAGGGATGGGAGGTAGCAGACTGAACCTGGGAACCTGCCTGGAGCCAGCGTGGGCTGGTGGAGCACAGAGCTAAGCAGACCTGTTTGCAGTTCCTTTGGCCCACTTGCTAGCATTGTGACCTTGGATGAGTCACTTCTTTTCCTTAAACCTTAGTTTCCTCGTCTATAAAGTGGGGTTATAGCTCTTGCCTTCCTGGGTTGTTGTACAAGACAAAAGATACAAGGTGGGATGCACAACCCAGTGAGGGAGAGGAGTGAGGACTGGAGAAGGGACAGTTGAGATTCCTTTCCAGAGGGCCTGGGGAGCTTTGAACTCTTGGTTCTTCTAGCACACAGGGGCCCTAAAATCCTGAGATCCATTCTCCTCTCGGGGAGAACTTGGCCATTAGGTAACAAGACCTCAAATCCCTCCTCCAAGGATAGAGATGAGTTTGGTGACAGGAACTGTGGCGGGGTAGCATTCTCCACTGTCCCTGTGTGGTCTTGGATGAGACTCTTGCCTTCTCTGGGCCTCAGTTTCCCCACTGGTGTGGCGGGCCTCCTGTGAGGCTGCCCTGTGTCTGTCTTTGCCATCTCTGTCAGGAGCTTTCTGCTTTGCTCAGCCCTTTCCTCTGACTCTGCTCTGCCAGCTCCGGAAGCCCATGGGGGCCTGAGGAATGTGTCTTGGCTCGTTGCCCAGAATAGGCACAGGGAGGTGGCAGGGGCTGATGGAGAGGCCAGGGCCAGCAGAGCTGCTCGGCTGAGTCCCAGGTCCAGACCCCACTAGGTTGCCTTGGTTTCCCCTCCAAGAGGCCACCGAAGCAAACAGGCTGTGGGCCTCTGGTGATCTTGGCACACTCATGACCTTAATTCCCACTTGATTTTGTTTTATTTTTATATTTGGGGAATATCTATAAATGCTGCTGTTGCATTTTCTTTTCATATTTAAAAAGGGCTGACTTGAGAGCGTTGGACCCTAAAATCTTCAGTGCTATCAATCACATTATATATCTGAACCCAGGGCCTCGTGGGTGCTGGGGTGTGCTGCTCCCAAGCCACACACCTAGCCTCTACCTCTCACCTTTTAATAGCTAAGTCAAATGCAGGGTCATACATAAGTGATATGAATGTAAGAGGCTTTCCCCCAGATGCCTTATTACTTTGATAATTATAGCCAACAGTGCAGTTTAAAACAATTGACATTCATTGAAATGTCAAATTTTAGTTGACTTGAAAGCTTTTTTTAGTTTCTGCTATTTGAAAATTTAGTCTACAGATGGTAAAATTTCTACCGTAGCTATGTTTCTTTTCTTTCTTTCTTTTTATTTTTTATTATTATTATTTTTTACTGAGGTATTAGGGATTGAACTCAGGGACTAGCACATGCTAGGTAAGCCCTCTACCACTGAGCTACAGCCAAAACCCTTTTTATTTTTATGTTGAGACAGGATCTCACAAAGTTGCCCAGGTTGGTCTTGAGTTTTTGATCCTCCTGCTTCAGCTTCCCTAGTAGCTGGGACGCTGGTGTGTCTCCATGCTGGCCTGTAGCCACATGTCGATTCCACACTGAGATCCTTTCACCCTTCTTTTTTTTTTTTAATATTTATTTTTTAGTTCTCGGCGGACACAACATCTTTGTTGGTATGTGGTGCTGAGGATCGAACCTGGGCCACATGCATGCCAGGCGAGCGCGCTACTGCTTGAGCCACATCCCCAGCCCTACCCTTCTTATCTTTGAGAACATCTATGTCAGGATACTTAGCAGGTACATCATTTTGAGAAGGAAGTATCTCTGAATGTTTGACACTTGAAGCATCTCTTGATTTTAGGAGCTGATATCCAGACTTTCCCTGTAACACAAGTACTCCATTTCTTCCCACTAAGTCAAGAAACATTCATCGATAGGTACTTCCTGCCTGGTATATAGAGCATTGGGGTCAGAAGTACAGCCAGACCCAGGCTTTTGGGGAAGACAAAACATAAACACTGGTTCCTCCCTGCAAACTGAAAATCAATTCTTAAAATACTGTCTGCACTGTGATGAATCAGAAGAGACATCCAACAGTTTTCATTTAGAGTGTTAGCTCCCCTGGTAGCTTACTGGGAGTCCCATATTTGGGAGGATTGGGAGGTCTTGTCTGGGCTCAGCAGAAACGATCTGGAGTTGATTAGCAATGTCTACCCCAGATGCAGTAAGGAAGAGAAGTACAGTGTACCACTCCAGCTCTCAGTCTAACTTATATGTTCTGAGATTTTTTCAAAGAGAAGATCATTTATTGGTAGATTTTTCTGTAGACCTAGAGAAGAGGAAGGAGATTATGGTCTTTTTTTTTTTTTTTAAGTTGTTGATAGACCTTTATTTTATTTATGTATTTATATGTGGTGCTGAGAATCGAACCCAGTGCCTCACACATGCCAGGTGCTACCTCTGAGCCCCAGCCCCAGCCCCAGCTCCGAGATTATGGTCTTATTGTTGTTTTTTCCCCAGCTTTTTCTTAGTTGAATTCTTTTTTTTTTTTTTTTTTTTTTTGAGGGGAGGTTACTAGGGATTGAACTCAGGCACTTGACCACTGAGCCACATTCCCAGCCCTATTTTGAATTTTATTTAGAGACAGGGTCTCACTGAGTTGCTTAGCACGTTGCTTTTGCTGAGGCTGGCTTTGAACCCGTGATTCTCCTGTCTCAGCCGCCCTAGCCACTAGGATTACAGGCATGGGCCACTGGCCTGGCTGAATTCTCTTTTGACCTGGTTTCCTGGCCCAGCAGATAGAAGTAATTCCACCTAAGGCAGTACTAAGAGCTGGTGGGTGGGGTGAGGAACTGGGCCCAAGAATCTCTGAATTGGGCTGGGCATGGTGGTGCATACCTGTAATCCCAGCAGGTCCAGAGGCTGAGGCCAGAGAATTGCAAGTTCAAAGCCAGTCTCAGTCACTTGGTGAGGTCCTGAGCAACTTGGCAAGACCCTGTCTCAAAATAAAATATAAAAAAGGGCTGTGGATATGGCTCAGTGGTTAAACACTCCTGGGTTCAATCCCTGGTACAAAAATAAATAAATAAATAAATAAAATAAAATGAAGAATCTCTGAATTGCAGGAGCAATGTGGGAAACCTGGAGCATAAGGACAGGAAGGTGTTGGCTTGTGCCTGGTCCTCGAGACTTCGGGGAGTTTGTGGAAAAGGTCAAGGTTCGGCAGTTGCCTTGTCTGGAACAGGGTTCCTGGGAGCCCCTCTGGGCCGAGGTTCCCTCTGGAACACATCACATCCACATTGTTCAGAATTTCTTCACTCCTGACCTGTTTCTGAGGCCACTTCCAAGGAGCCATGGAAGAATGGCCTGTCCTTTGGATGTGAACTTGGCAAGGCAGCTTGGGCAAATTTCTTGGGCCCTGGGGCTTGGTAGGTACAGAATCCCTGTAGAATGTCCTGGAAGAACAGGTCTCACTAGCAAACTCCAGGTGCCAGCCAGAGGCCTCATTCCTTAAGTTGGGGGTTCAGCCGTGCTTCAGCAGCCCGGCTGCTGGGACCTTTCCTCTGCTAGGTCAGAGATTTGCACAAACGTTCAGAGCCTGTTCTCAGCTGCAGGGATGTGTTTGTGACAGAGTCTGGGTGCAAGCTGGCAGCCAGCATGACTCTGCCTGCTGCTTAGAGAGGCCCATTGTGTGTGCAGAGCGCCTGCCAGGCCCAGCCAGGCCCTTGGAGACCAGGCCTGGGGGAAGAGGGAGGGATGTCTATGAGGAAAATGCGCTTCCCTCTTCCCTCCTCCAGTGTGGCTGGACACACTGACAGTAACCACAGTGAGCCTGTCGTGCATTAAAAGATAATACTAAAAGCTAATTTAGTGCTTTGTACAAACTAGAAGTACATCCTACACAGAAATTGGGCTTTTAAAAGACATGAGCATGTAGTAGCCTTTGAATACATGTGCATGATAAAAGTCTGTAGAGTGGGGTGTGCTGGTACACACCTGTAATCCCAGTGACTTAGGAGGCTGAGGCAGGAGGATCACAAGTTCAAAGCCAGCCTCAGCAACTTAGCGAGGCCCTAAGCAATTCAGTGAGACCCTGTCTCTAAATAAAATATTAAAAAGGGCTGGGGATGTGGCTCAGTGGTTAAACACCCCTGGGTTCAATGCCTGGTACAATAAATAAATAAATAAATAAATAAACAAACAAACAAATAAATAAATAAAACAGTCTGTAGAGTAATAGGAATTGCTTTCATCCCCATTTGACAGATAAGATTGCAGGAGCAATGTGGGAAACCTGCAGCACAGGGACAGGAGGATGTTGGCTTGTGCCTGGTCCTCAAGACTTCAGGGAGTCTGGGGAGAAGGTCAGGATTCGGCAGTTGCCCTAATCTGGAACAGAGTTCCTGGGAGCCTCTCTGGAGGGGTCCTGGGTTCTTTCTTTCATACTAAGGATTGAATGCAGGGGTGCTCTAACTCTGAGCCACATCCCCAGTCCTATTTTTTATTTTATTTAGAGGCAGGTCTGAGTTGCTTAGCACCTTGCTAAGTTGCCAAGGCTGGCTTTGAACTTGAGATCCTCCTGTCTCAGCTTTCCGAGCTGTGGGGATTACAGGCATGTGCCACCATGTGTGCTGAAAACCACTTATTCTGAACAAAGCTTGAAAACTTCATCTGGGCCAGATGTGGGGGCACATGGCTTTAATCCCAGTACTCCGGAGGCTGCGCAGGAGGACTGCAAGTTCCAGGCCAGCCAGGACAACCGAGTGAGACCCTGTCTCAAAATAAAACATTAAAATGGCTGGGGATGAAGGTCAGTGGTAGAGCACTTCGTGTTCAATCCATGGTTTCCCCCCCCCCCACACACACAAAAGAGTAAGTTTGCTAAGAGTAAGGCACAAAGCAACTCAGTGAGACCCTGTCTCTAAATAAAATACAAAATAGGGCTGGGGATGTGGCTCAGTGGTTGAGTGACTCCGAGTTCATTCCCCAGTATACCCCCCCCCAAAAAAAAATGAAGAAGAAGAAGAGGCTCAAAGCTCACACGAGGCTTGACTTACTCCCGAGCTTTTCTCTGTTATGAGTCTTTAAACTCTGAGGCCAGTGCCCTGCCTGTCCTTTCTCTGGGAGATGGACATTGCCAGGTGTCCTGCCCATGGTTTGACTCCATGCCTTACTGCTGTCAAAAGTGAGACGCAGCTAATTTGGGGTCGCCCTGTTTAGCTGAGCCAAGTATGCTGGGCCCCTGAGGCGCCTGAGGGAGCCCTGCCCCGGGAGGCATGAATGGAGCCCCCACCCAGGTCTCTGGTGCCTGCAAAGACCTGTTGTTCTGGCCATTGTTCTCAAGGAAACATTTATTTGGCTGCACACACACATAACTTTGGACCATGTGATTTGCCACAGTCAAAACTTGGCCTAATCCATCCTTGGCCTGATCCCCAGATCTCAATTAAAATGCCGGTGAGCCTCTGGAGGTAGGCTCTGACCCGTGAGCTGTGTGACCCTGGCTGTTATAGCGGTGGAGAAAATCACAATGATAATAATCAGGAGAAGAGTGTCTACTGTTTATTGAGCACCTACAATGTGCTGGGCATTGTGCTAAGTGTCTTTCATGTAATATTTCATTGAATCCTCAATGCCACCCCCACATTATTTATCCCATTAAACAGATGAGAACTCAGGTGGTGACTTGTCCCAGGTTACACAGTGGCAGAGAGAGAATTTCAGCTGGATCTCTCAGAAGCCAAACTCCGTGGTCTTAACTATTTATACTGTGCTGAAAGTCATGTCACCCCTCTGAGGCTGGGTTTATCCATCCATTAAACAAGGATATCAATTCATTTCATTGAATTGGTAAAATTAGGTGAAGATGTGTTTGAGAAAGATGAACTTGGTATTTGGTATGTAGTAAGCCCTCAATTAGTGCTCCTTTCTCCCTTTGCTAATACCCTAGAACTCTGAATCTTGGCTTCCTGAATTGATATGGGTCCTTTTTTTTTAATATTTATTTTTTAGGTGTAGAGGGACACAACACAATGCCTTTATTTTTATGTGGTGCTGAGGATTGAACCCGGGTCCAGCCTATGCTAGGCGAGCGCTCTACCCCTGAGCCACAATCCCAGCCCATGGGTCTTTTTTTTTTTTTTGAGAGAGAGAGAGAGAGAATTTTTAATATTTATTTTTTAGTTCTCAGCAGACACAACATTTTTGTTTGTATGTGGTGCTGAGGATCGAACCCCGGGCTGCACGCATGGCAGGCGAGCGCGCTACCGCTTGAGCCACATCCTCAGCCCCAAGGGTCCTTTTTTTTAATATTTATTTTTTAGTTGTAGTGGGACACAATATCTTTATTTTTATGTGGTGCTGAGGATTGAACCCAGGGTCTCGCACATTCTAAGTGAGCGCTCTACTACTAAGCCATAACCCCAGCCCCGAAATGGGTCCTTTTCAAATTTTCTTTTGTACCAGGGATTGAACCCAGGGATGCTGAACTACTGAGCCACATCCCCATCCCTTTTTATTTCGAGACAGGGTCTCACTAAGTGCTCGGGCCTTGCTAAATTGCTGAGGCTGTCCTTGAACTTGCAATCTTCCTGCGTCAGCCTCCTGGTTTCACTGGGATTATAGACATGTGCCACGGAAAGTCATGTCACTCCTCTGTATGTATGTTTTTATCAATAAGTCAAGGATGTGTGACTCTTTCTTATTCCTTTTAATGGTTGCATAATATTCTGTTACTGGGATTCATTAATTCATCTAGCAAGTATTTACTGAACCCTTCTCTGGGCCAGGACTTGTTGTAGGTATCAGGGATGTGTGGTTTCTGACAGGCAGGAAGCTTATCTTTTTTTTTTTTCTTTTCTTTTTTTTGGTAACAGCAATTGAACCCAGGGCTACCCCTGAGCTCCATTCCCAGTCCTTTTTATTTATTTATTTTTTATTTTGAAACAAGATCTTGCTAAGTTACCTAGGGGCTAACTAAATTGCTGAGGCTGGCCTTGAATTTATGATCCTCTTGCCATAGGCCCCTGAGTTTCTGGGATTAAGGCATCTGCCCTCCTGCCTTGGTGTTAGCTGTAGAATCTTGGTAGGTGGTGTCCTCTGCCTCCCTGCCCATCCTAAAGGGTGTGTTAAGGTGGGATTTTATTTTTCAGGGTGTGGCAGTCTGGGCTTTGCTGGTCAGCCCCGATGCCGGGTCCGCCAGTGTCCAGGAACTATTTTTAGTCCAGCCTTGCTAGGCCAGTAAATCCTTAAAGATCACTCCTCTGAGCCTGTTGGAATCTCAAGTTTTCTCCGCCATCCTGGGCAGGTGGTGGATAGCTGATCATGATCCTCACAGTGCCTTGCTGAGAGAGCTGATGTATCGGAACCTGTTATACAGGCAAAGGAACTGAGGCTCAGAGAGCAAATCCCCGGACCTGTATTCCTATCCTCTCTTTGTGCCATCACATCCTGTGACTGTCTCTTCATATTGTCATGCTAAACATGGCAGGAGAAGTAATAACCACACTACTGTCAACTGAAGAACCATCCTGTGCCAGGCGGGAAAAGGGCTTTATAGGTATTGGGTCTTTCAATACCTTATGAGGTACATATGATTTTACTCCCATTTTAAAAATGAGGAAATGTGGGTTCATGGAGGTTAAGTCACCTGTCCAAGATCATAGAACAAGGACGTGAAACCAAGGCTGCCTTCCTCCAGAGCCACATTCTTTTTCATGTTCCTGCCCCAGGCTGAGAAGCCCTAGGACTTTTAATGTCCATTCATTTAGCAAATTTCTTCCCTTCCCTGTACTTGCCATTGAACCCAGGGCCTTGCCCGTGCTAGGCAAGCCGTCTACTACTGAGCTACGTCCACCCCCATCTCCGTAATCTAAGAAATGTCTTCTCCATTGATTACCTGGTGTACATACAGAAGCCTGGCCAGCAAGAGATCAGGTTCCTGTGCTCACGGGTT